TTTTTGAGCTCTATCAAAAGTATGCTACGAGCTGTTTTGGTGTCATACTTGGACAGCTACTCAATTTCCTTGAATTGATTTCATACACCAAAGCGTCATAAACTAAAGTCAAACTAACAACACTTAAAAATTTGAATAATGACTATTGCATTTACTCAAGCAAATTGATCATAAACAGATTCAAATTTTCAATTTATAGTTCATTATTTAAGAGAAAATTGAGAACCAACAACAATTACCTGAAATTGCTGAGAGTTAAAAGTTGTGTAATTTCTTTGTAACCTTCCTCATTCAATGTTGAAAACACTTTTAACTTATTATCTAACATTGCAAGCGCATTTGCCTTGTCTCGCCTATAATATGATTTAAGGCAGAAAAAATTAATACCCCAAAAATAAAGACAAAACTATAAAAAACTTTCACTGATAAATGCAAATTACTTATACCTATCAAGTGCTTCAAGATACTTTTGCTTCCTAATTTTATAGAATATCTTCATAGAATCTTGGTTATCATCAATTTTGGTAAATCCTGATAAGTATTTCTCAACTTCAACCCTATATTTGGCTTGAACTTTCTCGTAAAGGTACCTCACGTTGAAATAAAACCCTGATTCTTTTTCAAGCCTACCAAAACATGGAAAGTAACATCCTTTATTAAATATGGAATTCCAATTAAATAATTTTCAACCAAAACATCAATTTCTTAAGGAACACTCTCCACCCAAACAAACCCAACACTATTTAGATTTTGCCAACTTTTAAAATTTTGTTTGACAAAGGAGGTTCCCTTGAGTCCCTAGGCTAGCATAATTCATTTATAATAATTCATATATAAACACAAGAATTGAGCTATTAGATGATTCTCTTAACGTGTATCTACAGATGATGGAACGTGTCCAAGGACATCAAAAATTTGCAAAAATTGCAATGGAATTAATACACTAAATTATGTCTTTGCGTAAAACTATCCATTAAACAAAACAACACAAACACACAAAATGTTGTTCGCAAAGCTTACTTGTGAAGAGACTCCTCAAATTTCTCTTCTTTGAGAAACTGAAGTATAAGAAACACCAATGCTTTTCGCAATGACAAAATCTCTGACTTCAAAACGCACCACACCAACACACACAAAACAAACAAACAAATTCAATTCAGTAAGATAAAAGTAGAGAGAGAGAGAGAGAGAGTTCAACTTACTTATTAATCTCGCTATCTGAATCTGCAAAAAGGCTTCTTATATCACAACAAAGGCTTCCAAAGTGAACCTTTATAATAACATAACAACCCTATTTATAAATTATAATAGACTGATAGGCCACCCATTACTAAAAGATATCAGAGGTAAGGAAGAGGGACCAAGAGCGTGACTAGACACCATGAAAATTAATTAGGATTTTGTACACGTGTCTTAGTTGGGTAGGTTGCCTTGGGAAAATTCACGTGTGTATATAAAGAGGGAGGTCTTGCTCGTGAAAGGGCAAATTGTATTTTTGTAAAAGAAATCCTGAGGGAGGCCGCTAACTCCTCGAATTGTTAGCAACTCTATCTTCAATTTTGTCTTTCATTTCTGCATTACTGATATTATATTCAAGTAAGTGAATCAATATATTCTTAAACTGAATGTTTCATGCTGAATCTGTGTGTTGAGATTGCTAGATTGTTTGCATTGCGTTGTTGAATTATTACTGGAGTTGAGGTTTGTATCAAATTGGTATCAGAGCTAGTGTTTGGGGAATGGTTAAATCGAAAATGGAGAATAGAATGGAGGGAATGGAGAAAGAAATGGGAACAGTGAGAGGAGATCTAGTGAGTTTGAAGGAAGACATGGGTAACCTTAAGTACTACCTCCTGCAACTCAGGGAGTGGATGAGGATCAAAGATGAAAAAGAGGCTAGCCATAGTAGTGAGAAGAGTAAGGTGACGGGGACGGAAAACTCTAATGGAGAAAGTAACAGAGGGGATATGAAAATTAAGAAGTTGGACTTACAAATCTTAATGGAGAAGATCCGTACGGATGGACTTTCAGGGCTGATAGGTATTTCATTATTAACCGATATGCTGAAGAGGAGAAAGTGGAGGTTGCTGCCGTATGTATGGAGGGTCGGGCTTTGAATTGGTACCAGTGGATGGATGCCCAAACGCTTGTGAGAAATTGGGCAAACTTCAAATCCGCTTTGATTGAGCAATTTTGACCATCATTCAAGGGAACTGCCTGTGAGGCCTTAATCACGTTAAAACAAGAGGGAACCGTAACTGAATATCATGAACAATTTGAAGCTCACTCAGCGCCACTTACAGAGATAGTAGAAAGAAGTACTAGTGGGAAGTTTTGTAAATGGACTTAAAGAGGAAAACAAGGTCGAGTTACGTCTGAGTAAGCCCAAAACGTTGTATGAAGTAATAGATCTGGCCCATAGAGTGGAGGAAAAGAATTGGGTCTTGGAGGAGGCCCAGGGAAAAATTAGCAAAAATCAGACTACAAGGCTGGATACTTACTCTCGGGTTAGCCCAAGTCCAAACACCCAACCCAACAATTTTTTTTGACCCATATAGTGAACCAATCTTAATCGAAATCCAGATTTGGGGCAACACTCATCCATTCGCTGTTTCGATCGAAGGGAGAGATCAACGGAATTGTCGACGACCAACTTCGAGGGGACAACTTCCGGCGGTTGACGAAGGCAGAAATACAAGTAAAAAGGGAGAAAATGCTGTGTTTTAGGTGCGATGAAAAATTCAGACCTAACCATCGCTGCAAAAGTAAGGCTCTACATATTTTGCTTGCATGGGAGGATGATGTAATTAACGATGGAGAACCCACACCAGTTACCAAAGAAGAACCTGTCACGGAAGGTAATCCCTTAGCTCTCTCAATGCATTCCATTGTGGGTATTACTTTGGATAAAGCGTTGAAAATTAGAGGTCACATTGGTAAGGAAGAGGTAATTGTGTTGGTTAATAGCGAAGCATCGCATAATTTTATCTCACACGAGTTGGTGCAAAAATTGGGGATACCAGTGGAAGGAAGGAAAATTTTCGGAGTAATGGTAGGTAACGGGGTTACAGTGAGAGGGGAAGGAATATGTAGAGTAGTGCACATGCAGATACAGGGGGTGAGGGTTGTATAGGATTATGTTCCTTTTGATTTGAGTGGAGCTGATGTGGTGTTAGGGGTATCATGGTTCAGTTCTTTGGGTGATGTTTATGCGAATTAGAGGAACTTAACCATGGCATTTGAGCTGGATGGGAAATGGGTGATTTTGCAAGGAGACCCCTCTTTGGTAAAAATTGTAGTCTCCCTAAAGGTCATGCTTCGACCGGTGCAAACAACAGAGACTGGTTATTTGATAGAGTTTTGTTCAATTGAAAATAAACCAGAATTGAGAGAGGAACCGTTGGATCCCAGGGTATCCAGGGTATTGGAAGAGTTTGAAAACTTGTTTGACCAATCAACCGAGTTACCTCCTAAAAGGAGGACTGGTCATGCCATAGTGCTTAAGGAAGGATCTCAACCCCCCAACATTAGACCCTATAGGTATCTTTATTACCAAAAGAATGAGATTGAGAAGTTGGTAGGAGAAATGCTAGTGGTTGGAATCATTCAACCCAGCACCAGCCCCTTTGCTAGTCTCGTGTTATTGGTTAAAAAAAAAAAAAAAAAGATGGTAGTTGGAGGTTTTGTGTCGACTATAGAGCCCTTAATAGCATCACCATACCTGACAAATTTCTCATCCCTACCATTGATGAGTTACTAGATGAATTAACCTGGCAACAACCTTCTCTAAACTTGATCTAAAGCTTGGGTACCACCATATTAGAGTCGATGATGACGATATACCCAAAACAACCTTTAGGACACATAAGGGCCACTATGAATTCTTAGTAATGTCTTTCGGCCTAACCAATGCCCTATCCACCTTCCAAGCACTTATGAAAACCATTTTCAAACCCTTCCTCAGAAAATTTGTTCTGGTCTTCTTTGACGACATCCTAATTTACAGTCCAGACCTGAACACCTATATACTTCACCTTTCCCAAGTCTTTAAAATTCTGCAGGTACATAAGTTGGTTGTTAATCGCAAGAAATGCCTTTTTGGTCAGGCGAAACTAGAGTATTATTGATATTATACTCAAGTAAGTGAATCAATATATTCTTAAATTGAATGTTTCATGCTGAATCTGTGTGTTGAGATTGCTGGATTGTTTGCATTGCGTTATTGAATTATTACTGGAGTTGAGGTCTGTACCATAGACTAATCCTAATTCTTCTAGGAAAAAATAATTAAAATAAAATAAAAAAATCCTAATACTACTCAAATAAGGAATTTTAAAATTGGAAAAAAATCCAAACTTAAACAAAGAATTATAAATTGGAAAATAAACTAAATTCCTAATGAAAATTAGGAAAATAGCTTATGTTGGCGTGAGCTGGAATGGGAGAGAATCGGCAAGTCCATACTCTGGAAGGATTATGATCAAAGACATTGATCTTCATATCAACAAGATATTGGCAAGAATATATTCTTGTGCGTTTGTATCCAACAAAGACACAAGAATAAAAGAAATACATTTATCCATGAAAAGAATGCCTGTGTTGACAGCTTATACTAAATAAAGTCCTACATCAGATATTTTTTATTTATTTTAAAGCTAAACTTTATCTCTAATTTTTATTCTTAAACATTACTGTTACATATAATTTTATTTTCAGAAAACAAAATCTTTAAAATATTAATTCTTTTTTCCTTAAAATAAATTTAGATGTGAAAACAAAATTTAAAGTAATGGTATTTCAAAAATTTAAGTTATACTATTGAGTTCCAATTCTTGTATCTCCAATAGATAAAATTTTCCAGGCCAACTGATTTACATTACTAGCCATAAAACATATTAAGGACATCAGAACAAGCATTAGAAACATTGAGCTCCACTCTTTAAATCTTGAAACAAACCCAAATCAAAGAAAGACAGAACAAGTGCGTTATGTAATGTAACCTGTAAAGAGTTGAGAAAACTGTAAATTGCAGACATTACACTCTCAAGGAAGACCAATTCTGGGGCAGATTTAGCAGTATCCTGGTAAATGGCAATCAAAAACATCAATTTCTCTTTTGTAGATTTGTATTTTTGGTCTGCCAAACCATGACATATATTTGAGATTAACAATTGGACCAGGATCATATAATGAAGAAAGATTATCCCAAGATTCTAATAACAGAGAAAAAGATATCACAGTAATCCTTGACCTTATTGTATGTCATCTAAAGCTTCTGTAACAACATCAGAAATTCTTGTGTCTTTTCGACGCTTTGTTTTGCATGTTTTTCTTAGATGCTGCTTAGATTTTCGGCTTTCTTTCTCTGTCTCGGTGAAGAGATCTTTGTACTTCTCTAGTACCCTCTCTTTCTCTTCTGGTAAGCCTAATATCTGATACACATCTGCCACCTTTTGCACAATTGATTTCTCTGGAGGCTTACGATCAAAAGCTTCAAGGCCTTTGAAAAGCTTTATGAGCCTTTCCAGCATATTGTTTCGGTAATGTATACAGATCAAGCTTTTGGGCATAACTGCCAAGGCACTGGAATGCAGATACGTACCAATTTTTTCATCCAAAACTTGGTTACTTCTCCTCCTCTATGGTCTTTATCTAAAGCTCGCACCAGTTGCACATATGTTCCCATTGTAGATCCCTGGCCCTTGCTTAACATCCATTTAATGACCTGAACAATTCTACTTCTCAAGAGCAAACAAAGCCTGCTTAAGTGATGCCACCCCACTTTCACCTAATCTCCTTACCCACAGTAGTCCAAACCCCAACCATCGCCCCTTCCCAACCAATCCATATCAACTCAAAAACCACCTTCACATCACAATACAAAGCAATCCCAGACAACAAAACAATTAAAAATAGAATGTTATCTAGTTGGTTCATAGTTTCTGCGTTTCATCTTCAACATTTAGAACTGAAGATTACCCGACTTCACCCATACCTCTCTCCGATCTTTCAAGATATTTGTACCTTGTCTTCTCTCCATTATCACCCATTCCAATTAATTGTGCCTCTACCAAGAGGCTGGCTTGTGTTTCACTCATTAGTGCAGAATAAAAAATTTCACTTCCATCATTTTTTTTTTTCTTTTTTGGGCGCTCTCTCGACTACGTTGTTTGATGTCTGATTTGCAGTAGTTGATGAAGCAATCAATTCAATGGGAATTACACGATTGAAAAGAAAATCAATATTTCTTTCGTAACGCAAGTTAATAATTTCAAGTAAACCATCTACTCTTGGAAAAAAATAAAATAAAATAAAATGATATTGTCGTCATCACCAAGAGGAACAAACAGAAACCTAACCTGATCCTTCAAATTGAAAACTGGTTATTTAGCAGGGTGCGTGTGGTAAGGAGGTGCGACGGGGTTTATGAGATGAGGCTTATGTGTGGTGTGGAGGTGCAATGGGCTTGAGATTAAGCTTTTATGTGGCGAGGAACTGAGGGAAGGTGTTGGGGGGATAAGCCGCTCCGAGTAAATCGTTTCTCCTCCAACAAGGACTGAGGGAAGGAGGGCTTCACGGCGGGGGTGGTGGAGGTAGGGGGCTGCTTTTGCAGGGAATATGGGTAGAATTAATTCAGTAACAAATGATTAGGATCAATATAAAAGGTAAAGAGAAGATCAGAGGAATATAACATCATCACTTCTTGGTAACTCTGACCAGCGGCTATTTAGGACACTATGGGGGTTTTATAGTAATTTTCCTTTTGGTAACTTTACGAAGATAAGAGAGGGTATTGTAGACTTTTTATTGCAAAGTTTATAATGAGTTAACGACTTTTTTCCACAAGTAATGGCTTAACTACGAACACATTTTTACTTACAAACTTTTAAAATATAATTTTTTTATCTAAAAAATATATTTTCCAATTTAGCAATGAATGGACAGCAAACTCGTATTTTTAAAGATAAAAGGTTGGTAAATCTTTTAGTGATGAAATATGCAAATTTTGGTGGTCATGATTGGTCATAATTTTACTTTAAAGAGACAGTTATGAAAATCCTAATTATTTGATTGTCAACGTTTAGTAAAGTCAGTAGAAGTAAAATTTGAGGGGTTTTGATAAAGAATGATCAGGAAAGAGAATTGTGATAGTTTGGGATCGCAACGATGCCGAAATCAATCAGCTATTGGTGGGATAAGGGGAAAATGTCATTAAAATGTTTTATTTCGATGGAAATGTGATATTTTAAAAACCTGTTGTAGATAAGAAAGTGTCATTAAGCCATTATAAGCCATTATTTGGGTAGAAAAAAGTATTTACTCGTAGAGTAATCCTGTATCCTATAGCACATAAGCAAAATTAATATACTCCAAACGTTAAGACTACAGTCAATTTCTTCAAATTTTTAACCTTTGATTTTTCCATGTGCCACTGTTACAGTGGTTTGCATGATAAGCTTACTTTGTACCTTGTTACACTTAATTTGGAGTATATAAATATAATCAACAAGAAGTTTTCTATGCATCTTCCGTAACACTCTCAACTCTCTACCTCCACGGCTTCGTCTACCTCATTCCCGACCTGCTATCTGTCCGGCTTCCTCTCCCGCCGACAGTAACTTTTTATAAATTTATGAAAAATGAAACAACGTAGTTGTTCTTCAATGAATGTATGTGTAAATATGTGTTTGGGTTTATGAAAACAAGATAATGATATTTGTTATGCCCGGGAAATAAAGAGTTGACGTGGAGTCACGTGACGAGACGTGGCCTGCTCCCGTCAGAATGGTAAGCGCACGTCAGGCCTGCCATGCACCCTGGAGCTCCCACGTGTCTGCTTACCTGCTCCAAATCGCGTAAAATCAACTAGGGAAATGGGTAATGGGACGTAAAGCCTGATTATATAATGACATTCACACCAACCCAAGGATTTAATGATGATTACACGCATTCAGCTTGGTATAAGAAGAAGACGACCCCTTCATTAAGGGGATTCGATCATTTTGACATTTAATCTCTCTCTCAAAAAGGCTCTGTATTTTACTTTTCAATCATTTGTAAGTCAGTCCGCTTTAGCGACCTGACCCACCATATTAATACAAATCAGTGGACGTAGGATTTGCTACCTTAGCATCCGAACCACTTTAAAAGCCCTTATTGCATTTATTTCCTTTTTACGCAGAATCATGTGTGCTTCTTGATCAATCAACGCTGCACACGTGTCAATTAGTTGGTGCCCCAAATCACGCATCAACAGTTTGGCGCTAGAAGGAGGGCTTGATTTAGCGTTTACCCTTCATCAGGAGAATCTTCGACCTACTGGTCCTACAGCAACAAATGGCCCGCCAATCAGAACCTAAGCAAGCTAATCAGCGCCCTAAAGGAGTCCCCTTGACCCAAGGGGATACCCTCTCTAGGGTACTTCTAGTTCCTCAAAATGCTGCGGGAGATATCCCGGCAGCTTCGCAACTCGACCCCGCCATTAGAAGCCACCTGGAGAGGTTCGACAATACTCTCCAGACGGTCAACCAGAGGTTGGACCTTTTGGACCAAGGCATGTCATCCACAACAGCTGGGGCGGTGCAACCGCCAAAGACCCCTGCAGGTCGGGCGAAAGCGCGGCAAAGGGCAATAGCCCGTGCCGCGAGCACTGCAGCGCGTAGACATAAGGGAAAGTAGGTGGCAAAAGGTAAGCCTACGGGCTTCCAAAGATCAGCAAGCACAAATCGCGCCCCGAGCAGGGTGCCGATGAAGCTGAGACTCGACGAAAAAGTAAATCCTGAGCTGTCCCATGCCACGTCGCAAGCAAACCCAGGCAAAAATGCCAGGCGCGATGATTCATATCACCGCCAACAGAATGATCACGATCGTTATGCGGGTGGCCCCCACACCACCGCGAGGGTCGTGAAAACGCCCCACACAATCCATCGCCTTCACACGCCACTAGCCAGCGTGTGTCAAGTGTGGCCGAAAATGCCGGCCGAGGCGAAGAGGAATCCGACCTCTGGACTTTCCTGAACCGTAATCGCGAAAGCCAGACTCGCGTGGGTGAAAGCAACCCTCAGTTGGGCCCGCTACCGCAAATTGAGGAGCTACAGCGAGCTCTGGACAGGTTAAGGAAGCAGTAAAGCAAACAGGCCCAGGTCGCCTCTACATCCCCATTCTCTCCCGAAGTGCTAGCTGCTCCACTCCCACCAGGGTTCAGAATGCCCGACATGCGGCCGTTTGACGGGAACCATGACCCGCAGGATCATTTGTACGAGTTCAACGACCTGATGGAGCTCCACCAGGTTTCGGACCTTGCTAAATGCCGCTGTTTGGCCGTAACGCTCACTTCTCACGCCAAGCGGTGGTTAAGGTCGCTCCCAGTGGGATCGATCAGTTCGTGGCCTCAGATGAGCACGACGTTCTTACGGCATTTCCAAGCCAATCGGAAATTTTCAATTCCTTTGAGCTATCTCAGCAACATAAGGCAAGAAAGAGACGAACCCCTGCAGTCCTACATCGACCATTTCCACAGGGAGTTGAACAAGGTGGCTCACGCTCCAGAAGAGTCCATCCGAACACTTATAATAGCTGGAATTTGCCCGCAAACCGACCTATGGAAAGAACTGCAGGCTGAGGACGATGTTTCTCTCACCAGATTTTACAATCTTGCAGAAAAGTATCTCCAGATAGAAAATTCGTTGGCGGCACTCCGCCGCCGCGATCAAGGCACTTCGAGCGGTATGTCTGGTCGGGAAGAGAGTAGGAGAGCTGATCGCAAAGGAGACATTGATGATCAGCGAAAAGGGAAGAAACCCCGCTACGAGCACAAAAAGTCCTATGCTCCTGTTCCTCGTTGCGACAGGGACAGACCTCAATACACTCCACTGAACATGTCCATATCTACGATCCTTGACAAATCCGAGGAGGCCAGCCTGCTCGGTGAGCCAGAACCAATGAAAACTCCCGCTACGGCCAGAAACAGCAAAAAATACTGCCGTTACCATCGGGATAACGGGCATCACATTGATGAATGTCGAGCCCTAAAGCAGGCAATCGAAGAGCTCATTAAAAATGGGCACTTCAAGGAGTATATTGATGACTCCCCAAAGGAGAGCCAAGGGGAGCAAAAGAAAAAACGTCGTGATCGCAGCGGATACAGTAGCGTTAGTATAATTTTCAGAGGTCCGCACCTCGCGAGGAACACGCAAGGAGCGCAAGAAAGGTATGCTCGCGAAGCATATCACGACCCGATCAGAGTAATGAATACTTCGCAGCGACCACAAAAGGCTCGAAAGGAGGAGACGATCACCTTCTGCAAAAAGGAAGCAGCTCGCTTGCACCATCCTCACGAGGATGCCCTGGTGATCACGCCCCTGATAGGATGTCATAATGTCTGCAGAATGCTTGTGGACAACGGAAGTGCTGTGAACATCCTGTTCAAAACTGCTTTCGATAAAATGAACTTAGACGAGGCCAACCTAAAGCCCGCCTCGATGCCTCTCTACGGTTTTATAGGGGACCACCTGATCCCCAGAGGAACAATCCAGCTACCAGTCACGCTCGGTGACTACGACGAGGTGACTAGGGTTACTGAATTTCTGGTCGTGGACTGCTCATAGGCCTTTAATGGAATCTTGGGGCGACCTCTGTTGAGAAGCTTCAAGGCAGTCACTTCCATTTATCACCTCAAGATGAAGTTGCCCACTCCAACAGGGCTAGGGGAAGTAAGCGGATCGCAAAGCGCATCTCGCGAATGCTATATAAAAGTGGTGCAGATGGCAGACAAAGGAAAGGGCATTTCGCGATGTGTGCCTCGCCAGGCTATGGCGATCAGTCGG